AACTCAGGACCTTGTGCTTGACAGGCAGGCGCTTAAGCGGCTGAGCCATACCCCCAGCCTAATTCTCTACTCTTAACCATTATGTTATAGTGCCTCTCTGTGTTCTATTCCAAATATGGATAATTTTTCCTTAACATAACTAAGGAAGTAAAGAAAAAAAAATCTAAAATAGTCGTTAAAAGTAGAGATGAATTGATACTTGTTCAAACTGGGTGCCAGATATAAGTTTGTTGTATTTTCTCTCTTTAAAAATTCTGTAATAAGCCAGGGGTGGTGGTGCATGCCCATAATCCCAGCATCATGAGGCAGAGGCAAGAGGACCACCATAAGTAGCCAGCCATCCTGGGCTACACAGTGACTTCAAAGATAGCCTGAATCGCATCATGAGACTCTGTCTTTAAAAAAAAAAAAAAAAAAAAAAAAATGTGTAATAAACTTGGCTTGATTTGGCTTTTCAGTATTTTATGGGGGAATCCAGGCTCTCTAGGTAGGCTGCATGGATTCAAATCCAGCCCAGTACAGTGGTTTGGAATTGGGCCAGGTGAGTGAAACACAAACCTCTATTGTCCTATGGAGCTTTCTGTGATGATAAAAGTAGTTTATGTCTGCACTGTGCAGGCATTGCCACCTGCCATCTGTGGTGAATGTCACTTGGAACTAAATTTTTAATTATAACTGCAGTAAGTTAATTTAATTCCAACTGTTCTATGACTAATAGCTGTATTATTGAAGAGCGCAACCATTTCCTCATCTGTGAAATCAGTGGTGTTCATAGCACCTTGGGTATATGTTTGACCGGGGAGTTAAGTGGTAGGAGTTTTATAATATACATAGCCTGGTACCCTAACATTACATATATTTGAGAACATTTGCTTTCATTAATATGTGTGTGTTGGGGCCGGGGAGATGGCTCAATGGAATAAGCTCTTGCCTGGCAAGTGCAGGGGACTGAGTTCAATCCCTGGTTCTGAAAAAAAAAAAAAAAAAAAATCATTAATATCTGTGTGAACATTAACACATTAATTGTAAATTTATAATTATTTTTAAAATAAGAAATAAACTGGACTTGGTGGTACACACATATAAACTCAGAGGCTGAGACAGGAAAATTATAAGTTCAAGTCCAACTTGGGTAATTTCATGAATCTGTCTCTCAAAAACTTTAAAAAACATTAGGGGCAGCCAGTCATGGTGGCACATGCCTGTAATCCTAGCATTTGGGAAGCTGAGGCAGGTAGATAGGAACAACTTGGAGGCCAGCCTGGGCCACCAACTGAGTTCAAGGCCAGCCTGAACTATATATATAGAAGGACCCTTTCTCAATACAACAAAACTACTAGGGATGTAGCTCAGTTGTACAGTACTTGCCTAGCATGTGTGAGACTGTGAGTTTAAGCCCTAGTACTACAAAAACAGATTTTAAAAAAAAAAAAAAAAAACTGACAGATGCCTCTCAAAATATGTTAGATTATGGGGCTAGGGAGATGGCTCAGTAGAATAAGCGCTTCCCTGGCAAGCACAATGGCCTGAGTTCAATCCCCAGTTCTGCCCCAAAAAAAGTATATAAAATATGTTAGATTTAAACTGACGACATAACTCAGCAGGCTAAAGCTTAGGTAAATTTAGGCAAGTTTAGGCTTGTGCAAGGACTGTGCTTCGATCCCTGATACCACATGCTGCACCAGCCTTGCCCCCAGGGCGGGGTGAGCTGGCTACTGAGTCCAGGCATGGTGGCACATATCTGTAATCCCAGTGCTGGGGAGGCTGAAATCAGGAGAATCACTATGAGTCCAAGCTGTGTAGTGAGACTCTGTAGACCCTGTAACAACCAAATACATTAAATACATACATATATTAGATTTGGACAAAAATGAAGACTCCTGAAATATCATACAACAGATTTATGAAACAGCATCTGTTTAGCAAACAAATTTTGGCAGTTAATTCCATAGTTGGTATAGCTTTTGTAATTACTGTCACTATTAAGTAATCTTAATTTTTGTCCGTATCTAACATATTTTGAGAAATATCAGTGGAGTGCTTTTTTTCTGGTTTTTTTTGCCCTTAATCGAAGCAACTACTTTACAATGTACAAGAGTAAAATGCCTTCCATAGTCTGCTTGTGACATTGAGATAGCACTGTAGAGAAACCTGCGTCCACACAGGAGAGAGGGTGATGAGATGATGTGTAGGACAGCCAGCTCAGCCACCAGGCCAGATAGAAGAGGGGCAGCCCGGCCCTGCCTGCCCTCAGCCTGTGTGCACCTCCGCTCGGCCCCCCTGCCCCAACCAGTAGGTTATGGGCGTGGAATCACCTTGGGTTTTGAGTGCACATCAGCCTGGCTTCCTTTCTCATGGTAAATATGTCTCTGTAGTGTGGTTATTAACATGACTCTCAAGGGATGGATGTAAAAATTAAACAGAGGAAAATGATGTATATAAAGCTTCTGGGACATCAAAGAAACTGAGTAAATGTTACTTCCCCTGCACTTATCCTTTATTAGCTCAGAATTTAAACATTAGACAGTCAGCCAAAAGGGTTACTAAATTACGTTTCTTGAAAACTCCTTATTTCTCTTTGGTAGTGTTGATTTTAATTGTAAAGAATATGTCAGCCATGAATATAAAAAGTGTCACTTATAAAATAAGAGCCCTATGAAGGGCTGAATCATTTTATGCTTTTCTTAGAAAAAATAAACAGTACTACTGTTCAACACTCACCCTTTGCAAACATAGCCATTTATATAATATATTCCATTTCTACAAAGTTGAGAGTAAATATGCACGGAAAAAAATGTTTCAAATGTGTTCAAAGCTGACATTTGAGCTGTTACTGGTAACGGCTTTAAATTCCCTTATCATTATAGTAAGAATCCGTTCTAAAAGTAGTATTGTGCAGTCTCCTCTGCCAAGCCACAGAGACAGTCTGGTTTGATCTTTACCTCAGAACTGAAGGAAGCATGAAAAGAATAATTAGCATAAATTTTCTTTCCCTGTTGTCAGTTTATTCTGAACTAGTAGTTAAAAAAGAAAAGGCTACATTGTCAACTTCTCTTACAAGGCTAAGCCAGAGTATATTGATCCAGGAAGTTAAGGAATAATATATCAGGAATATGTTTTCATATAGCAGGTGAAACAGAGCCATAAAGGTGAATTTCTAAGTAATAATTAACAGTGAGTTGAACAATTATGGGTGTAATATACCGTTCAAGATAGATGTGCTTATAAGGAGATTTGTTTTGTAGTTGTTTTATGAGTCACGCATAGAAGCTTTGTATTTTTAAAGGTAAGTTTCCACTGTTATGAAATATGTCTTACAAAGACTAAACTTCTATTGAGTAATTACACATGTACTAGAGGAATGGTGAATACAGTCATCATCATTCTGTTTTCAAGGCCCACATGTCTAATGTGGTCTCCTTTGTGGACTATGTTATTATTTGTTGGCTATATTATAACAGAGACTAAAATCAAAAGCAAGTCCTCACATATTCCAGTCACAGAAGTGTTGTCCATGGAATAAACTGACAGTTGTTAGATAGGACACAGTTGCTCTATAAGCAATTTATATACCCACTTTTTATCCCATTGTATTGGGTGCTATTTAACTATGGAATATTTACTTCATTCTTAAAATGTTAAATACTTTATATGAAGCATTTCTTTAAAATTATCCACCTACAATCCTATAATTTAACATTCCATTCCCATTGTACACGTATTATGTAATGTGCCTGCCAAGGTTCAAAACAGGGAGAGTATGTGCATAGATGCACTGCGTGTGAACTTACATTCATACATGGTGTAGATGTGTGCACTTGCATACGAACGTAGGCACTTACATGTACCTGAAAACTCTAGTTGCGTTCACTGGTTTTACTTTAATTTTGAAGAAAACATTATCTTCGAAGTGATCCCAGTTATATATAGATTCAAGTTTTGGAGTTCCAGGAGCATCTGATCTTACCAAGGATTGTGGCCGGTAGTGACGCTCCGCTTCCTGGGCCCCTCAGCTGAGTAGGATCTCTGGCGCCTCACTCTGAAAGTCAGTTTGTTTTTCTGCTGAGCTGCTTACCTTTATTGGCACATAATTACTGTTTTCCTCTGATGCCTGTTTTTCATCTAAGTTAGTGAGGCTGCATAGCATTTATGTAGAGTTGTATGCGTTCAGTGCTTTCTATAATCAGCAGATAACTCACATAGCCCTCTGACACACATGAGCATTTTCCACTCTCTCAGATGTAAAAACTGAAGTTCAGTGTGCTGCGCTTTGCTCCACACACGAGTCAATGGCACACCTAGAAGCAGAAGTCAGACCTGCAGCTGGTCTTCCTCCTGGGGAACAGTGCTGTTTCCTAGGACAGTTCCCAGTCGCTGGAAAGAAAGGAGTATGGAGAGCCTTCTTAAATCTCAGGAATTATCAGTTCTTCTAGAATGCCTGCTAGTATTCCTTGAATTTAAAAACCAGCTTCATTGAGATAATTGATAGCTTTTCATTTTCTAAAAGTATTGCTAAAAGATATCTTAACTCTTCAGCAAAATAATTTTCATTAATTTTACCCTTACCAATTCTGCCTCAACATTTGAGAAATTATGTCACTTTGATTTATTACTGCTTTCCTTATTTCTTGTATAGTGCTGGTTGAGTAGATTTATTCTAGTGTGTTAGAAGAATACTTCATATAATTGTTCTGATTAATTTCCCTGTTGAACAATAAAACTATAGGTAATAGAAAACAGGTCTTAAGTATTTCTCTTTTGAAATATTAATATGTCCTTACTGTTAGGCTCATAAAATAGCTTCTTATCCTTTTCTGTCAGAAAATAGGCCAAATCCAGCTGGGCACAGTGGTTCATACCTGCGATTTGGGAGGCTGTGGAAAAGGGTCACTAGTTCAAACTCAGCCTAGGCATTTTAGCAGTGAGACCCTATCAAAAATTTTAAAAAGCTGGGGATATAGTTCAGTGTGCAGGTCCTGGATTCAATCCCCACTACTGCAAGGAGGAAAAAATTGAAAACAAAAATCGTTTACCACATACCGATTCAATTACCTAACTCAATTATATACCTAGTAATTTAGTATGTGGTAAATTACAGAGTGCTAATATATATATATATATATATATATAGTTTGACTTCCCATATCTTGTGTTTTAATATTTTGACCACATAAATATTCTTTTTTCTTTTAGATAAATCCCACTTCCTCTTCTTACATTTCAGGAGTTAAGTAGTCAACTTTAATTTGTTGTTTTGTTTTCTTTTTGTTTTTTTGAGACAGGGTCTCCCCATGTACTTCATGCTGGCCTTGACCATAGTATGTAGCCTCACTACATAGCCTAACCCTTGAGCCTCAGCCTCCACATGGTACATGTGTACTACCATGACCAGTTAGAGGTCAACTTCAACATCTTGATTTTATTCCCCTAACAGGCAAAAAAGTATTCTCAAAAAGCATCTTAGTTGCATTGTCAAAGAGTTACTAAAAGAATCTTCTCACTAAAAATGTTGGTCAGTCATTAAATTAAATATTATAGTAGCTGATTTGTTACCTTTCTTAATTACAAATGTATCTTTAATTCAAATATTTTTTCTTTTGCTAGTTACTGTTTATTAACTAAATTTACATTAATGTGATCACTTTCTTAAACTTGAATTTTTTTCCAGCAATTTAAATAAAGAAAAATCAGCTTTACTACAGATGAAGAACCAAATGGCATTAGACTTAGAACAACTTCTAAGTCATCGTGAGGTACTTCTTCCATTTTGTAATCATTTTTACCATTTTAAGTATTTTTAAAATCCATGTTGGTTTAAGATTATTGCTGTTATTGGTTTAAGATAGCTGACAGTGTTCATTAATGACTTCTCATATTTGCATCTCACTGTGATCAACTTGAGATATATTTTATTTGTAGAGTTAATTTGTATTTCTGGAATGCCCCTTCTTGTTGACCAGTATTGATTTGTTCACTTCTCTGTCACTGAATTTCTACATTTTTTAATCAGTATCTGATGTATCTCTTTCTACTCTGAGACAGTAGATTTCTTTAGTGTACCTCTCCCACTTATGTATCATTTTATGTTTAGTGTCCAGTGTAAGGCTTATGGTGAGCCTTAAAGTTCATAAAGTTCTTTTGTTTCTCATTAAAAATCTTTTAAAACTAATTTCCATTTTTTAGGAGGAAAATGAGTTTTAAATGGCTTGCCAAAAGCCAGCAGTAGCTCAACGATATGCCCAATTTTTGGTTTTTTTAGATTTATAACTAAAATCAGTATGATTCTCCCTTTTTGTTTGTGTTCTTTTTCACAGATGCACACAAATATGTAAATGCTATACCACCAGAGTCGTTATAGAACAATTTCACCACCACAGTCTCTTGTGCACACTGTAGGTGAACCTTTCCCCCAATCTCCTACATTAACAACCACCCACCTGTGTTCCGTACCTATAGTTTCACCTTTTACAGAATGTCATATAAGTGAATTACAATGTATCACCTTTCAAGTCTAGTTTTTACACTTACTGAGTCCATTATATGTACTCTGTTATATGATTGTTCCAGTTAATCCTTTCACCAGTTGATAGACATTTGAGTTGTTGCTTTTTTGGACATCTGTAAATAAAATAATACCTTAAATATTATAATTTATTAATCTATAGCCAGGTTATATTAAAATATAAAATATAAGTTGAACAACTATAACCAACTGTGTACTGGTTTTTGTGTAAACATACATTTCCGTTTTTCTTGAGTACATAGTGGAGCACAAATGCTGAGCATAAGGTATGTGTATATTTATAAGGAACAGCCAAGCTTTTCCAAAGTGACTGTAGTTGTGCAGTTCTTGAGGGTTTCATACCTGTACATTCTCACCAACACTTTGTATTGTTAAGCCTTGTGTTTTAGTCTCGAGCATTTTTGTTCACCACTGTCATATTTTAGCCGTGTTTTCACTGTTGCATTATTCTGAAGAAGAAATTTCAAAGCAAATCATTGATTTGTGACTGTCCTAGAGACATTATTTGCTACTCTGGAAAAAAGTAGACCAAATGTCTAAGAATGAATTAAAGGAAGAATTGCATTGAGAGAAGCAAACTGGAGGTGACTGCCAGAAGCAGCTCACAGGTGCGCACCTTGGAAATGGTGTGGGCTGCAGGGCATTGCCTCTTAGACATGGGCTTTGGAGGAAGTTCTTCCAGGAAGTCTTCATGTGATGAGGACAAACCTTAGAAAGGTAACCTATAGTGTGATACCCTAACATTGGGGTTTAGCCAGGTGTGGTGACACACACCTATAGTCGCAACACTCAGAGGTTGAAGCAAGAGCGGACAGGATTTCAGAGAGATTTTTAGGTAGATAATCTAAGAACAAATTACAAAGCTGTGTAAGACGTCTCTCAAAATTTATGTTCTTTCTTCTCACTTCTGACACTCAAGGTCTTATCTATCATGTATGTCCTTGAATTCTGCCTTCAAAGAACTATCTTCCCTGTGGAAGCTTGATTCGTGGACTGTATGAAATTATCATGGGTTTGTTTTTTTTTTTTTGGCGGTACTGGGGATTGAACTCATGACCTTGAACTTGCCAGGCAAGCACTTATTCTACTGAACTATCTACCCAGCCCTAATATTTTTAAAAATTGGATATTTGAGAGACTAACTACAGTATTGGTGTCTATTTGGTTATATCAATTGCATTTTTTTCTCAAAGTTGCATAATAGGTATTTTTCAGAATGGCAATTCTCATTTCATTTTAAAAGATTATACTAGACTTTTAAGATGTACATAATTTTATTTTGTGTATTTTATATATTGTACCTGAAAATACATATTCATGTATCCAGGTGATAACTGAAGTTTTATTTAGTGCATTGAGAAGAAAATATGTTTAAGCATAAAAATTAAATACTAGCAAGGTGAAACTACTCAGGACTAGTACTACATCACATCAGTGAACTCTGTATGGCTGCATATTAATTAATATTTATCATTTGATCTATATGCATTTCACATGACACTCTCACCTGAATAATTATAGTTTGATACCCTAACGTTGGGCTTTAGCCAGGTCTGGCGGCCCACACCTATAGTCTCAACACTCAAAGGTTGAAGTAAGAGGATCTCAAGGTCAAGTTCAAGGCCAGGTTCGGCAATCTGGTGGACTCAGCAGGAACCTGACTCAAAATTTAAAACTAGAAACATGACTGAAGACTTAGTTCAGGGGTGCGAGTCCTGGGATCAGACCCCATAGAGTGATCATCACCATTGTCCTCATCGCTTAATTTGGGTCCTTTCATGATGCCAGCCATCTAAAAGGCAGCTTTTTCTTCTTTTCAAAGCAAAATAAAAATTAAAGCTTAGTAAAACAAATCTGACAGGAAGTTGTTATTTGTTTCCTAAAAACCATTCAGTACAGGTCCAGTGAGTGTGTGGGAGAGCTTCCTGCTACCCTGCGCCAGCGGGACCAAATACCGGTCCCAGCCCAGGCACGGCGTGGGCGAGACCCTCTCCCACCCACTTGGGACGCCCCTCACCACTCCGCAGCACCTCCCCCAACACACCCACTGAGTAGGAATTTCTGCTGCGTTCTGGAAACCCCCAGACCCAGTCCTAGCCCAGACCACCTTGCCCCCTCCAGGCACAGCTCAGGCCTGGCATACATGCCTGGGGTGTAACCCTGCAGCTGCAATCCCTGCAGAGAGTGTAGAGGATAGAACCACCCAGCTAGTCCAGGACCAGAACATCTTGCCACAGGGGCACAACAGGTTCGCCCTCAAGGGCAGCAGCGGGAAAAAGCTGAATACAGCAGCCAAACCCAAGCCAGGCACAACTGGATAAATCCAGACTTTGTAGAGCTGCACCTGAACATCAGTACATGCGAAGGTTATAACTACAACAAAGATCTACAACAAAGGTCAGAATACAGTGCTACACAAAATGACGAGAAGGAACAAAATGCAACCTCAGAACCCAAGCCCACCTGTAACAAGTGGAGAGGACACTAACACAGAACAAATTGGGAATCACACAGCGGAAAGCAATGAATCAGCAGCTTCTGAAATAAACAGCTGCAGAAAGGTATAGAGGAACTCAGATTGGAAATAAAAAAAGAAGTCCCTGAATTAATAACATCGGCAGTAAAGAATCAAATGCAGAAACATATGGAGGAAACCCAGTGCCCACCCAGAACAAGTGCGAAGGACACTAGCTCAGCTCAAATGCATGAATTAATAGTGTCAATAGTAAATAAGCAACAGCAGAAAGATTTAGAGGAAATCAGAGTGCAATTCTTTTCTGAAATAAAAAAAGAACTCTCAGAACTCATAGCATCTGAAGTCAAGAATCAACTACAGAAACATAGGGAGGAAACCCAATCTGAAAAAAAACACTACAGTAAAAGAATTTATAACTGCTTCTAAAGAAGACATTGATAAAAAAAAAAAAGTAGAGGAGATTAGAAAAATGACGGATTCCTTGAATGAGCAATGCAGGAAAGATAGATCGCATGAAGCAGAGTCAAAGAGATACAAAGGAAATTAAAATCTCAGTCACAAGCTTGCAAAACCGTTTAAGTGAATGTGAAGACAGAGTTTCAGACCTTGAAGATGCTGGTGCAGCTAGTGAAAAGGTAAGAAA